TTTCATGCTTTCCCCCATTGGCCGCTGGGACTCAGAGTTCCCTGAGCGAGCCAGTTGTAGGGTGGTCATCTGTTCCACCCTAGAGTCCCTCACAACATCCTGTGTCCCCACTTTTTCAGATCCCCAGCCTGAGTCATAGTGTACTGTCACAGACCAGCTTCAGGGCCGAATACAAGACCAGTGGCGGCCCCTCCGTCTTCCAGAAGCCTGTCCGCTTCCAGGTGGACATCAGCTCCTCTGAGGGCCCTGAGCCCTCTCCCCACCGGGATGGCAGCAGTGGAGGTGGCATCTACTCCGTCACCTTTACTCTCATCTCTGGTGAGTCTTCTGACCAGACTGCACCCCAGGCCAGTGGCTGGGATGTCTGAGGCCCCCAAGAGGGCAGGCAGGCCCAGGAGATGGTGTTCAGCAGGTGCAGGCTCTGTGAGGCCCCTCCTCACACAGGCCCCGCACATCCCTTCCTTCCCTGTTCTCTTTAGGGGGTATCTACCATGTAAATAGCAACTGTATTATTCCAAGCAGCCTCTGAGGTGTGGGTAATCACCCACTTGATAAAAAAAAAAACAAAATTCCTGATTCCTGGAGAAGTGGATGGACTTGACCACAGTCACACAGTAAACCAGCGGAAAACGGGTCAAACTAGGCCTCTCGCCCTCGAAGGACAGCAGAGCTCCTCCTGCTACTTTCACTTTGCCCTAGATCAAAAGAGCAAAGACAAGCACAACATGTTGTCCTAAGATATCAGTCCCCTGCTCAGAGCAGACATCACCAATCACCTGCAGCACTTCTTGCTGAGCTTTGCTGTGGCCTTGGCAACTTTAATACCAGGCAGCCACAGCTAATCAAGAGTTGGCACAAGAGATGAAAACCACAGGAATTCCTTGCCTCCAATTCTACTTGGTTCCTGAGTCCTGGTGGGCTGTTGAATAACAAGGGAAGCCTCTATTTTTGCCCTTTCTCACTGGTCTTAATATGTCACCATCAGGAGATGAGCTTGTTCTGAGGGCTTCTAAATCAGGCTGCAGTGAAACAGTGGGGTGTTCCTTCACTCAAACAAGTTAGGGCTTTTTTTATTCCCCCCCTTAAAGACTAATATGAAGACTCTTCTCTTTTTGGGGGATGAAGGGGGCAGTACTGGGGATTGAGTCCAGGCCTTTTGCACTGAGCTCCATCCCCAGCCCTTTTCTTGGAGTCAGGATCTCACTAAGTTGCCCAAGCTGGGCTTGAACTTCGGCTTCTCCTGCTTCAGCGTCCCAGAGCAGATCTTTTTGTCTCTTAAAATTTTGTTTTTCCTCTCACTTTTTTTTTCTTTTACATCTCTGGCTCTTTACAGCCTCAACTAGACAGGAAAAGCAACAGCTTCTATGTAAATAGAAACTAGCACCTGTTGTTAGTTTGAGTTGAAGGCGTCTGAGTTTCAGGGCATTTCTTAAATAGCAGTGGGGAGATCCATTTGTAAACCATGGATTGGTGCTGGCCCTACCAGCACCAGGGGACCCGAGTCCTGGAGGAGAAGTCTTTCCCTTGGAGGAGGAGCCGGGCTCTGCAGGCCAAGGGCCATCCCTGCACACCCACTGACCATCAGCATCTCTCGCCCACTGTCCCCCAGGTCCCAGCCGGCGGTTCAAGCGTGTGGTGGAGACGATCCAGGCGCAGCTGCTGAGCACGCACGACCAGCCATCCGTGCAGGCCCTGGCAGGTGGGTGGGGCTGCGGGCAGTGGCATCCAGGCCTTCTGCCACAGAGTTCCAGACCCCTGCTCTGGAGAGGGTGACTGGCCATCCAGGTCTGCCTGCACTCAAGACATTTAGTCCAAAACTGGGACAAATTGGTCACCCTCTTTGCAGGACTCAGATATCCCTGGCACCCAAGAACTTGGGCTCCAGCTGGACCTGTTGCTAAGGCCTAATGTCCCTGGCAACCAATGGGCAATGTAGAGGCCAGGCCATGGCCACATTTGTTGCCAAAGTGTCTTAGTCTATTCTGGCTGCGATAAGAAAGGACCATAAACCGGGTGACTTACAAACAACAGAAATGCGTTGCTCACCGTCCGCCGGCTGAAAGTCCAAGATCCAGGCCCTGACACTCAGTGCCTGGCAAGGGCCCGTGCCTCGGATCAGAGGGGCCACCTGCTCGCTGGGCCCTGGCAGGAACACAGGCAGGAGCTCACCTGGGTCTTTTTTCTTTTTTCTTTTTGGTGCTGGGAATTGAACCCAGGGCCTTCACTCTGAGCCACCTCCCCAGCCCTCGTTTTATTTTTACTTTGAGGCAGTGTCTCTAAGTTGCCGGGGCTGGGTTTGAACCTGCAGTGCCCCCATCTCAGCTTCCCAGAGTGCTGGGTTACAAGCGTGTGCCACCGCGCAGTTATGAGGTCTGTTTCATGAGGGCCCTGATTCCATCCACAAGGGCTGCACCCTTGTGATTAATCACCTCCCAAAGGCCCTTTTCCTAACACCGTGGGGTTAGGGTCTCAGCATATGGATTTGAGGGCCACAACATTCAGCCCATAGCACAGCCTGAGACACAGCAGGCTCTCCCGGGAACAGGCCTGAAGGGTGCAGCGAGGGAGGCTGTGAGCGACACAGAACCCACTGGGTCAGTCGTCTGCGCTGGGGAGCCCAGCAGCCACAGCTTGAAGGTGGCTCCATGGCCACCTACATGCTCTGTCTCCCTCCCCGTGAGAGCTTGCAGGCAAAGGGACCCAGCAATGGAGCTGGAGCCACTGCAGCCTTATAACTGAAGACTGCACCCCAGCAATCCTAGCACCCATGCAGGAGGCTGAGGCAGGAGGATCACCTTGAGTTCGAGGCCAGCCTGGGCTACATAGGGAGACCCTATGTCAAAAAATTTTTTAAAAACAAACTAAAAAGAATACTATTCCAGGGTTGCCCTTGGGTCAGTTCCCCATACCCACCACAAACATGGTGGCTGGAACAACACAGATTTGTCAACCTTCAGTCCTAGAAGTCAGAAGGCCTGTGTGGACCTCACCAGGCGGAGGCTGTTCCCCTGCCTGTGGCCCCTTCCTGCCCCCAGACCCTGTGACACTGACCCCTTTCTGACCTGATCTTAGCGGTGAAAGTTTCTTCTCCCCTCTTCCCCTGGTACTGGAGATTAAACCCAAGGCCTTTGCACTGAGCTACATACTGTGCCCTTTTTTTAAAAAAAAAAAATTGAGACAAGGTATTGACAAGTTGCGCAGGGGCCGGGGATTTAGCTCAGTGGTTCCGGCGCCTGCCTTGCAAGCTCAAGGACCCGAGTTTGATCCCCCATACCAAAAAAAAAAAAAAAAGAAAGAAAGAAAGAAAGATAAGTTGCCCAGGCAGGGCTCCAACTTGGCCATCCTGCCTCAGCCTCCCCAAGCGCTGGGATTACAGGTGGGCACCATACCTGACTGGAAAAATGTTTCTGAGGTCTCCGACTAAATTGGACATACCAAGATAATCCAGGATAGCTTTCCTGGCTAAAGTCCATAACCCTAATCACCACAGAAGCTGTCTTCTTACACACAAGGTGACATGGTCACCAGTCCCTGGCCTTAAGAGTGAGCTTGGGCCAAGTGACAGGAAAAGGCAAGATAAAAAGTATACCTGGTGGAGGCAGGGCAAGCTGTGGAGGAAAGCCAGGCTAGCATGTTAGATGTCTTCACTGGGGATGGCAGAAGGGTGCAGTGGCATCTTATGGGCAGGGGTCAGATCCTGCAGCTCACGGGACGCCCCTCAGCGCAAAGGCTCATCTAGGCCCCAAATCTCAACAGCACCCAGCCCAGAAACCCTCCTTTCCCTTTTGATTGCTAGGTGCAACCCAAGAACAAACTAGGCCCACTGGACCCTGTTGCCTCAGCAACCAGGGATCCCAAAAGGGTCTACCCTTAAAGATGTACAACCAGCAGGCACCCAGGAGCCTTGCCACTTGTCTCATAAAGAGAATGTCGCACACACCTGTAATCCCAGCACTTTGGGAGGCTGAGGCAGGAGGATCAGGAGTTTGAGCCCAGCCTGAGCAAGCTCGAGAGACCCTAAGGGCTAGGGATGTCACTCAGGATGAAGCCCCTGGGTTCAACTCACCAGTACTGTGGGGGGAAACAAGATGGGGTGCCTTGGAAAAGAGAGCCTTTCTGGTCGCTCTGGCAACAGGCCAGCACCTCTCCTCCCCAGCGGTCAGCGTCTCTTAGAGCGGCCGATCTGCATCTGGAGACCTCGGGGCGGTTCAGCCCTGTGGACACTGCCTGACTCCCCACTGCAGTCCCCAACAGGAAGTGGTCTCAGTGGGGGGGAGTCAGGGAGGCCAAGCCAGGCCAGCCTGAGCCTAGGCCACACGCAGCCCCATTCCGCAGAGCATCTGTCCCCAGCGACCTAGCAGTGAACTGTGTCACCCGCCCCCGGCTGTCCCTGAGAGTCCTCTGAAGTTGGGCCCAGGCCTCACCCGGGCTAACTTGGCCCAGTTTCCAGTGCCACCTGGGTTTGGGGGACCTGGGATGCAGCCCCCATGCAAGAGAGCCGGTCTGTTGGTGACCTGTGTCCCCCTGGCCGCCACCTCTGGGGTGGGAGGTGACATGGATGGAGACCTTGACCACCCCAGGCTTCCCAAGACCCCCAGCAGGCACCGAAGCCCACTCCTAACTTCCTCTCTCATAGATGAGAAGAACGGAGCACAGCCCCGGCCTGCTGGCACCCCGCCCCGAAGCCTGCAGCCCCCACCCAGCCACCCGGACCCGGAGCTGAGCAGCTCTCCCCGCCGAGGCCCCCCCAAGGACAAGAAACTCCTGGCCACCAACGGGACCCCTTTGCCCTGACCCCAGGGGGCCAGGGAAGGAGGGGACCCCCTCCACCCCCCTTCCCTGCCCCCCAACTGTGAATCTGTAAATAAGGCCCAAGGAGTACATCGGGAGGGGGGGACACAGAAACCAGCCTTGCCCTGCAGGGATGGGGTCCAGGGCTGAGCCCAACGGGGGGCAGGGAGCTCTTTCTATTTTATTTATTGATTAATTTATTATTTTATTTATTGATCAATCTCTCTGCGGGTGGGGTGGGGGAGGGACGGGAGCTGGTTGGGGTGGCTTAGCAGATCCGGACAGGACCCTCTGTCCCTGTGTCGTCCCCAACTCCCCTTCCTGGGTCCCCCCCACCCCGTCCCCACAACCTTCTGTACGGATTTGCTCTCCCGGAAGGAATTCTGGTTTCGCGTGATCCTGCCTGCGTCCATGTCTCTGATTCTGCCGGCGGCAACAACAAAAAATAATAATAAATAGCCTTGATCAGGGACAGAAGCTGGCCTCGGCCTCTCGCTTCCTGGGGGGCCCTCACTGCAGGGGCGGGGACCGGCGGGCACTGGGGCGCCGGCCTCGCAGCGGCTCCGAGTGTCCCCTAGGCTCCGGGACAGGAAGGATCCACAGCCCAATCCCTCCACAGCCCAATCCCTCCTGCTGGAGAGACCCCGATGGTTCATCTCGGGGTCCCCCGGGGGCTCCGGCCCGCTTCCTCCACAGGCGCGAGGGAGGTCGGCTCTGGGCGCCCGCGGGGACTGCGGGGCCGTGGGGGCCGCAGGCTGGGGCTCCGGGCTCTGCCCTGGCCGCAGGCACAGGGTGCAGCCATCCAGGCCTGAGAAGTCCACGGCAAAGAGGCCGAAGAGCGTGAAGAGCAGCATGGCCAGGGCCCACTCGCAGGCGGCGGAGGCGGAGCGCAGCGGCCAGTGGTGGAGGAGGAGCACTGGGCGCCGGGTTAAGGGCCACCTGCTTCCGTGAAGGGCCAGGTGTCTCGGGTGCCCGTCCTCAGTACCCGCGTCTCACTCACACTGCCCCGTGGGCTCTGGCCCTGGTCACACCGGTGACCTCTGTCTCCATCTGTCACCCAAGACCTTCTCTACAGACACCATTGGTAGTGCAGCCCAAATATCGAAAAAAAAATGATTCCTTTTCGACTCACTGTGTAGCCCAGGCTGGCCTCAGACTCTGTCTCGGTAATCCTCCTGCCTCAGCCTCCTGAGTGCCAGGATTACAGGCGTGCGCCATCACACCAGGCTCCAAAATGCTTTGTGTGCAGCTGACCTTTCCCAATCCCCCGATGGCTCTGCCACTTCCCCACCTGTCTCTCGGGACGCCATTGCCACCCCTCCAGACAGTTTCCTAAATCTTCCCCCACCCCCACAGGATCTAATCTCCCCCCAAATGTGTCCCTCTTTCTGGTATCCCCACCTCCAAAGTAGTGCTGCCGTCCACTCCGTGCCACAGCAGACACTGGAGCCCCTTTGGCCTCTCCTCGCCCTGCCCAGCTGGCCACCTCTTGCCTTATCCAACTCTACCTCTCTGTCCCATCCCTTCCCTGGCTCCTCAGCACCTCCAGATCTATTTCCAGGCCAGGCATGGTGGCTCACACCTGTGATCCCAGCACTGGGCAGGCTGAGGGAGGAAGAACAAATTCAATCCCAGCCTGAACTACAGAGAGAGACCCTGTCTGAAAAAACAAAACTAGCCAGGGATTTAGCTCAGTGGTTTCACTGCCTGCTGCACAAGTGCAAGGACCTGAGTTCGATCCCTGGTACCGAAAAAAAAAAACAACTAGAAGCTGAGCATGGTGGTGTACACCTGTAATCCCAACATGCAGGAGGCTGAGGCAGGAGGATTGCTGAGAGTTTCAGGCCAGCCTGGAATACATAGTGAAACCCCGTCCCGAACAAAAACAAACACAAAGACCCTTTCTATGCCAGCAATGCAGGCATCCTCTGAGCACTGTGACCTCAGGGGAAGCCAAAGCTCTTTCTGGGCCTCATGGGACAACTTATTTCTCAAACCTCTCCTTGGAGTGTCCTCCTTCCCTCCTCTTCTCCAGTCTAGATCCAGCTCGCCCCTCCCAGGCCAGTTTAGACACCATTCCACTCATTCAGGAACTCTTAAGGCCCCTGTGTGCCAGGCAGTAGGGACAGGTGGCTAACAAGGCTGGCACCAGCCCTGGGCCTGTGGGTCTCACAGCGAGTGGGAGGTTTGGACCTGCAAGCCGGGCCTGAGCCACTCTTGCCCGTCTCCCAAGACCACAGCCCCCAGGGGCAGCCCTGGCCTCCATCCCGTCCTCTTGGACAGCTCACTGCCAGCCCTGGCTTTTCCACCTGCTGCACATACCCACCCTCGACATCCCAGCCTAGTGCACAGCAGCCCGGGCAGCAGGACCAGCTGGCTCCCCAGCCCCTGCTTAGCCCACTCGTCTGGCTCCTTGCAGCCGAACTGTGACCAGCATTGCTGTTTAGGAGGCTTCTCAGGGGCCACCTGCAGGCCGCCACTAAGCCTACCCAGGACCCCCACCAGGGGCTTGGTCTGGGGCTCACTGTGCCTGAGCCTGTGTCCATGCCCAAACTCTGCTGCACACACCCGGCATGTAGTGGTGCCCCTGAACTGCTATGAGTGGATCCACCCCGACCCCGCATCAGCACATACTAGGCCAAGCAGGGAGCTGAGCCCCTCCCATGCACCATCCTGTTCACTCCTCACAACCCTGCCCTCAGTAAGAGGGAAACTGAGGCACGAGAATTTAAGAAACCAGTGGAAGTGTCCCCCAACTAATATGGGGAGAAGATGGGATTCCACCCTGGAGATTCAGCTCAATGGCAGTGCTTGCCAGGAGGCAGCTTGGTCCCGTGCAGAGGCCCAGAGATGGGAAGGGACACCCCCGGGGACACACAGCAAGGGCACGGGACACTGACCCCCGCCAGGAACCACCTGGCCCCTGGCAGCCCCATGAGGATACTGGCCACGATGAGGAGGCTGCACAGGCTGCACAGGCTCAGGCGCAGCGGCCGGATCCAGGGCTCCCCGGGCTGGGGCCGGCTCTTCATCTGCCAGGACAGAAGGAGCTGCAGCCAGAAGTAGATGTTGCCCACGATGAAGGCGAAAAAGGCCCCCACCAGGTGCGTGGGCTTCTGGTGTTTTTCCTGGGAGAAGGAAGGAGAATTGAGAGGAAAACTCCAGCAAGCCAGAGGAACACAAAGTAGATGCTCAGGAAACGTGAGCTGAGTAAGCCTTGCATTCTCAAAGTGGAAACAGATATTGCCTCCAGGGGGATAAAAATTGGTTCTTGAAGGGTAAAAGTTGTTAGCTATTACAATGGTGTGTAATTGTATAGCACATAGTATAACAGCACATAGTATATGTAAAAGCGTTTAAGTATTAAACATTTCCACCGTGGTGGGAGGAGATCCAAGAAATGTCTGCAAGCAGCTCCTTGGGAAAGCACTGCAGCAGTAAGGTTATGGTACTAGAGTGAGGAACACAGGAATAAAGGAAGGAGCCGATGAACCACTGCGCAAATGAAATGGGGCAGACTGTTGCCTGAAACCCTGGGGAGAAGTCTCCCTCAGCTCTTATTTCAGCAAGAGACGCTGGGGAGAAGTGACGAGAAAATAGCAAGAGAAATCAGTAAGATTCCTCTTACTGTTTGGTTCATTCATTCTACAGGTACCTGCAGGTTTCTAGGGTCCATGAATCTGAGTTCATGTCTGAGCTGCACAGACCAGCTGATGGGAAAACTCTGGGGTATGGTCAAGAGCGCCTCCCTAGAGTGCTGGTGGACAGGGGCTGCACTAATACTGTCCACGGCGAAAAGCCTTCTGACTCCTCCAGGGGGCGCTCGCACATCCAGTGTGCCAAAAACCAAAAATAGGGGAGTCACGGTGATTTCATCAATAAATGAGAATAAGAAAGGAAACTGGCACAAAAGTCTCCCAGCCTCTTTGGGCTCCACAAGGTCCAATGGACAAAGGGCTTCCTGACGGCCTTGGCCCCACTGAGGCGGCAAGCCACAGGAGGACTACAAGTCCCAGCAGGCAGTGAGAGCCGGACCCACAGAGCAAATGAGCTTCCACCGCGAGGCACCCCGGGAGTCGTAGTTCACTGTGCCCGCTGTCTCTCACCTGAAAGTTGCCAACCACCGAGGTCCCTAGAGCACAGATGAGCCCAGACCACAGGGTCAACTTGTTAAGCCACGTTCTGACGCCCCAGTCCCGGAGCTGCTGATAACGCACAATGCAGATCCAGGCGGCTGGGAAGAGAGGGACGTGGGCAGAGACTAGAGACAACTGTGTCCTCAGCAGAGGTTGGGGGAGGCAGGGTGGGCCCGGACCCCCGGGTCTGAGGGAGGAGGGCGGAGCCTGGACCCCGGGTGGGGGGGCGGGGCCCTGGGGAGACGACTTGGCCGGTTGGGGTGGGGCAGAACCAGGAAAGGGATGGGAATATTTACCCACAGCAGCCCCCATATTGAGAACCTGGCCGAAGATGCAGCTCTGAGGGGGGTAGGAGCCACAGATACTGGAGAAGACAGAGGAGTTATCTGTCACGCTGTGGCACCTCCAAGGCAACGCCCACACTTCCTCCTGCAGGCGCCCACGTACCCCAACTACCTGATGTAAGGGAAGCCATGGGTGAGGTTCACAGACCCGTTGACCACAGCAATCGCAAAACTAAGGGGGGGAGGAACACAAGAGAGCAAGTATGGGATGTTCAAGGACAGCTTGTCTTTCTGTTAACCAAACATACACTTCATTCTGTAAACAAAACAAACCTCGCCATCCTCCTCCCTCCTCCCTCAGACGCAGGGTCCAGGCCCAGGCTCCTCCCTCAGACCCTGCTACACATCCTGCCTCTGACACTCACACAATCCAGACACCAGCGATAGCCCAGAGCGCCAGGAAGATGGGCAGAAGGAACAGGTAGCTCCACATGCTGGCCTGAGGGGAAGCACAGGGGCCAGGGCAGTCTCCGACCTTCTGGCAAGGAGCCAGTGCTCAGGTGTGAGACATCTCGGCCTCCGCACGGCCTCCCAGGCTGCATTGGCTCCAGGCAGAAGCCATTGAGGGATTCTGACCGAAGCAGACCCGGCCTAGCTGGAGACGCTTCCCCTCCTCCCTCGGTTCCTGCCAATGTCCAGTTCTGCCTTCCACCCTGCCTCCCCCACCGGCCAGAGACCCTACCTCCAGTCGCTTCCTTCCTAGGGTCAGGCCTGGGTGCCAGTGTAGCTGAAAGGTTTGCTGGGTGCGGCCGGCGGCAGGCAGGTGGCTGTCAAAGTCCAGGCAACAGGAGGGGCAGTGGCACTCTGCTCAGCCTTGGGTCTGACTGCCACTTGCCACGGACCTCACCACAAACCACCACTTCCTGTCTCCAGAGAACCCAGTAGGCAGCAGTTCAACTTTGGGGAGCCCTTAACTTCCTTTCTCCAGCTTTGTGGGATCAATGTGCAACAGTGTGCAAACTCCTAGGCCTTATTCTCCCCAGGACCCAGAAATCTGAGTCTCCATTGCTCTGCCCTCTCTCTCTCTCTCTCTCTCTCTCTCTCTCTCTCTCTCTCTCTCTCTCTCCTACTGGGGATTGAACCCAGGACCTTCCCACTGAGCTACATCCCCAGCTGTTTTTCATTTTTTGGTACCAGAGATCGAACTCAGGACCTTGAGCTTGCAAGGCAGGTGCGACACCACTGAGCTAAATCCCCGGTCCATTTTCATTTTATTCTGAGACAGGGTCTTGCCACGTTGCCCAGGCTGGGCTCAAACTTGCAGTCCTCCTGCCTCAGCCTCTCAGAGGTTGGCCCCCTCCCTCCCTCGAGACCAGGGTTCCAGGGGGCCCCACAGCCCCTTCTGGAGGACACGCATTATTCAGCCCAGCATCCAGGCCCCCTTACCTGCTCAGGGACAAATTGTCCAGGCCCCCAGTTCCGGATTCCTGCATTCAGGGTGTAGTTTCCGTCCCTGTGCTGCTGGCGGTGGGGCTCAAAACACAGCTTCCCCTTCCTCTTGCTTTTTCTTTGCCTTTCTTTCCCTGCCACGCCAGAGTTCCCTGGACAGGCCATGTGTGGGTGGAGAGGGGCCTTGCTGAGGACATCTGCGTCTGAAATCCTGTCCCCCGTTGCAGTCAGGGCTGCCTCTGGACTCTGCCTGCAACAAGGCGATGCCAGATGTGGCCCCTTGGCCTCAGAGCAGGACCGTGAGCCAAAGTAAACCCTTTCCTGCCTGAGTTACCCCAAGAGCTGAGTGATCTCCAGAGTCCCTGCAGGGAGGACTTTAGGCTCCTGGGTTCTCAGAGAGGAAGATGAGAAAGTGGGAGGAGCAGAGATGGATGCCACAAATGTTCCACAAATGTTCCAGAGACCCAGTACTGGATGGCAAAAAAATCAAAATCCAAAAGTCTCCAATGCCATAAAGGACTTGGATGTTATCCTGAGGGTACTGGGGAGCTATGGAAGGTTCTTGAGCAGGGAAGAGTGAGAAGAAATGACATTGGTGATGTGCAGAGAGAAAGGAGATAATGACCATGAACATCCCTCCAGTCCCAGGTCCTGCCCCGTGCTCTGTATGGGTTCTCACTAATTCTCTTGAGCCCCAGGTGCTGTGACCATCTTTACAGGTGAGACTCCCTGCTCCTCAAGGAAGTAGAATCCCTGGCTTCTTCCCTCAGCTGTGTCCCTGAGGGGAAACGACTGGGAGAATCCCAAACTTCTCATGTTCAAGAGTTGAGGTGCTAGACGTGGTAATGCATACCTGTAATCCCAGCACTTCGGAGGCTGAGGCAGGAGAATCGCTGTGAGTTTGAGACTAGCCTGGGTGATGTAGTGAGTTCAAAGCAAGCATGAGCCACATAGCGAGGTCCTGTCTCCAAAAAAAGATGAATGGGCTCACATAGTGGTGATGTGTCATCCACAAGTTAATCCCTGTCAGGTGCCAGAACAGTGGCCGGCACATAGCATCCGGTTTACGAGAGCTGGCTGTTTCCATCCCAGCACTCTGGGAGGCTGAGGCAGGAGGACTGTAAGCTTGAGTCCAGCCTGGGCAACATAGCAACTTAGGGAGACCCCACCTCAAAACAATAAAAAGGGATGGGGTGTAGTGCAGTGTGGAGGCCCTGCACTCGATCCCCAGTAGCTGCTTCCAGGCTTGCCTTTGAGGTTCCTGGTGACTGTGACCGCCAAGGGAAGCTGGCTGTGTTGTCTCCGCACAGCTGCCTGGTCCTGCTCTGCCTGCAGGCAGATGCCGGGGCAGAGCCTCTGCCTTCCGCTGTGCAGGGAGGGAGGCCCCAGGTTCAGGGCTGGACCAGCCGGAGCCCCGCCCTGCTCTGCCCTGCCCCGCCCTGCCCTGCCCCCTCACTGCACCTGTTATTGACCGTTTTGGTTTACGTTGAGGGAGCGGCTTAGCGTAAGCACAGCCATCTTGGAGGTGACTACAGTCCTGCCAGTCCAGTGTCCTGGCACACAGCTGTGAGGATGCTCAGTTGGGCATTTCCATGTCCACCACTGAGGGGCACCTTAGTACCTTGTTAGTACCTTGTGTTTTTGTTTGCTTTGTTTTTGTACCGGGGATCAAATTCAGGACCTTGTGCTTTGGAGGCAGGAGGTGGAACCACTGACCTAAATCCCCAGCCCCCTCCCTATGTACTTTAGGTTGGCCTTGAACTCACTATGGAGCCCAGGCTGCCCTCAAACTTGAGATCCTCCTGCCTCAGCCTCCTGAGTGCTGAGATTATGGTGTGCACCACCATGTCTGGCATCTTTCTTTGGTCTTATGGCACCTTCTGTCTTGAGGGCCTGTTCTCAGACAACAGCTTTTTCCAAAGCAGCTGCTTCGGAGAATTGGTAGGTGGAGCGCAGGAGAGGAGCCTGGTGGCATGAGGGGGGGTGATCCAGGAAGCAGATGGGTTAGAAATGCAAGACTGAGGTGTGTTATGCGCATCCAGTCGCTACAGTGAATGTAATCATTATGTACTGCAAACACGGACTCATAAAAATACAAAAAATGCAAGAACTGTGTGGGGTGCGGGGGAGACAGAGCAGGAGAAAGTGCCGGAAGGAGGCAGCCCTGGGAGAAGGAGGCACACAGATTTCCCGAGGGCAAATCCTCCTTGGCAGCGGGAAGCCTGCAAGGGGCTTTAGGGTGGGGAGGGAAGGCTACAGTAGGAAAGTGTTCTGGAGCTGGGAAGCACAGAGTGGGATGTGCTGGACGCCACCAGATGTCCTCTTCAAGGTGGTTACAGAAGCGAATCTTGCACTGTGTGAGATCTACTTCAACAAAACAAGCTGGGTGTGGTGGCACATAACTGTCATTCCAGCCCTCTGGAGGCTGAAGCAGGAGGATCTCATGTTCACACCCAGCCTGCGCAACGTAGTGACTTAGCAAGACCCTGTGTCCAAATGAAAAATAAAAAAGGGCTCAGTGTCGGAGCACCCTGGGTTTGATCCTTGAATCCAATCAGCCAGTCCATCGATGAATTAGGGGATGTTGCTCAGTGTAAAGGCCTTGGGTCTGAGCCCCAAGGCCAAACACAGAAAACAAAGCAAAATAAGCCTTGGCCCAAGTGTCTCCACTGGGCAGGGCAGCCCAGCCCTCCAGGAGGCAACCCCTGCCAAGAGGAATCTCAGTTCAGACTGGGCCTAGGAAGTCAGGGGGGCAGTCTGGAAAAGAGGCAAAGATAAAATGAGGCCAAGATCTGAGGCCGTTGAGACACCAGTAAGACCGGATGAGGTCACAGGGGCGGGTACCTGCCATGGCCTTAGCGGCTTCTGAGGAGGCGCCTGAACTGGAGCTGCGCTGGCAGTTTGCTGTCTCCCACATGGAGCCCTGCCAGGCCCTGCTGCTGGCAAGAAGACCCACACCTGGGGCCAGCACCTGGCATGACTGGTGTTTTGCTTATTCATTCATCAGTCGACACACATTTGGATTAGTTCCACCTTTTTTGTGGCAGTGCTGGAGAGGAAACCCAGGGCTGCACACTGAGCTACATCAGCAGACTTTTTGTTTAATGTTTTGGTTTGAGACAGAGTCTTGCTAAATTGCCCAGGCTGGGCTTGAACTTACAATCCTCCTGCCTCAGCCTCCCATGGTGCTGGGATTGCAGACGTGCAACACTGCCTGGCTAGTGTCAGGGTTGACTTGGTTGTGAAATGGTGAATTCATATGCTCTTTGATTCCAAGCTACAGTTTGACAAGATACAAGATACAAAAAATCGCAATAAAACAGGCAGCTGCTGCAGGTGCCGTCTCTGCCCCGACAAAAGCAATGCTGTCTCGGGGCACGTGGACCACAGAACACAGGATGCGATGTTCCCAACAAGGAGACAACAACTAAAGTCCAGCATCCTTTCAAGGCCAAGTCACCTGAAAATATCCATACATCTGCCTTGATCTCCGAGTGGACCCCGACCACAAATATTCGCTCTGACCCCTATGTGTGCCAGACACGCCCGACCTCTCTCCAGTGCCCTATAAAGCTTCCTGCTTTTTCTTTGTTCCAGACTGACAGCCTCTTGCTTGCCATCAGTCCACTGCTGCCTGGGTGAGTAAAGACTGTACCCCTTGCCTTTACTATCCTGCCCCCCGTTCCTCCACTGTTTGTTAGGCTCTCACATCTGCGTTGTTAGTATTTCACATCCAGCAAATCTTTATCAGATGACGGGCCTTGATGTTGAGGCTCAGCTGCGAATAAGACCAAGATCTCTGCCCCCTGGAGCTCACGTTCCAGCTGGGAGGAGACAGCACCCTGGCCTCAGGGCTCAGGATCTGGGCGTCGAGGGACCCCATACTCAGAAGTGATATAGAGGAGAAATATGCCTCCCAGCCCACTACATGTTGGATATGCCGAGTTTGCCATGTCCCCTGAAATCAAAGAATGAATTCCTAGAGATAGCAGAGGTTAAGCATAGGAAGGGTTTACTGAGAGACAGCTCCTGAGACAGGAGGGGTCCTGGGTGGCCACTGAGGCTCATTGTTGGGGGTGATTTGTACAGCAGTCACAACATGGGTCCAACTGCCGTCAACCCATAGGATGACAAGTACAGCTGCTTAGCTAATATTGACCCAATCAGGAAGAGGGTCACATAGCAAGGTACGTGGAAAGAACAGAGGCATTTTGGGGTGGGATGGGTCTGGATGCTGTGGTCACCCACGTGGATGACTGATGGCTATCTGGATTTACTGACCAGGCAGTGCTAATCACATTATCATTCCAAGTCACTGCTTGTCCCTCAGGGAGGTTTGCAGGACCTGGCCACCTTCCAATGCCCCTCTAGCCACAGTTGGGTTTTTTTGGGTTTTTTCCCAGTGCTGTGGATCAAACTCAGGACCTTGCACTTGCCGGCCAGGTGTGGCACCACTGAGCTACATCCCCAGCCCAAGCCACACTTCTGATGTGTCCTCACCTTCTGCACTGACACCCTGAGGGCCCATCCCTGCCTGACTGCCAATTAGTTTCTATCTAACTTAGCTGCCGGTAATATCACCCCCTCTGAAGAGGGGGAAAGGTGCAAAGACCACTCTGGCCACGTCTATCTAGAAGGCATCGTAGTTGTGGTCTGCAGTCTGACACTCACCCTATCTAGAGCCTCGACAGACGTCAGGCGTTCTCCTCTTGGGTAGGTGTATAGCTCTAAGTCCAGAGGAGACAAGGCCAAAGAGATGGTTAAGCCAAACAATAAGATCAATAAGACTATTATGAATAAAACCAATAAATATTTCCACCAGGAAAAGCCAGTAATAGCTACCCACAAAGAAGGTAAGGGGAAGGTCCAGAGAGCTTCAGGATCTGATGTGGCATTAATCTGTCATCTAATACCTTGAACAGCCATCAAGATGTTAGCAGAAGGATCAGGAATGTACACACAACATTCACCGTTTATAATTCTGTAGTTCTTCCTCGTGCTGCTATTAGGATGTCTAAGGCCATCCAATTTTGGAGGACAGCTTGCCTTATTAATTTGAGTTCTTAATTTAGGAGAGAGATTCCCGGCAAGGTATTCTTCAAGGCCCATTGAGTATAGTTATTCAAGGCCTTGACATCCTCTAATCTCAGGGAAGGGACAAAGATAGCAGCCAGATGATCGTAGGAGTGAAACACACTCTCAGACCATAGATGTTGTAGGTGGGGTAAGTTTGTGAGTTGGCCAACGTCTTTGACACTCCTGCCTTGTGACCACGCAAATCCCAGTGTGCCCTATCCATCCAGGGGGTGGCCAGGGCCCCAGAGTGGTTCCGCAGGACCAATAAGTGCCACTGGGGCCTGCCCATCTAATTCCAGGGCAATTAAACCAGTCTGTGGCAAACCAGTCCTCGACCTATAGGTTATGACGTGTCCACCCCAATGAGAATAGGAGTGATTTCTCTGTTCCCCACATAAGTGGACCTTTCTATGAAGATGTCCTATAGTGGGAGTCAACCACACATAATCATCCCATATCTGGAAGTACCATCTTGCTGTCTGTGAATTGTTGGCTTTTGCTATAGGTACCTTACTCTTATTTAATAGGGCTTCTACTAGAGCCCATGGAGAGGCTTCAGTGGAATTCTTAGAAAAAATCTGATTATGTCCATGACTATTAAGAGTATAGTTTGTACGTCACTCAGTTACCTTGTCTCAGTGGCCTAAACTATGAACTCCTGAGCTTT